ATAGAAAACATCAGTGATTACCTGAGTAACTCCAGCAATTTGCAACCTAATGTTACCCTTTCCCAACACAGCCATCATGGAATTATTCCCGAGCTTCACAGATTGTCGGAATTCCTCATCAAGATCTGAGAACCACTCCTTATTTGCACACATATGATTGCTACACCCTGAGTCAAGGAACCAGACATCTTCTCTCCTTGATTGATTAAGCTCCACATATGACATCAGCAACATTTCTTCTTTCTCCTCAAGCTCAGCATAATTCGCTTCCTTCTCCCATTTAGGACACTCATATTGAAAGTGCCCTAATTGATGACACTTATAACACTCAACTATAGCTTTGTTGAATGCTTGTCTCCCTCTTCCCCTGCCTCTTCCTCGAAAAGCTCCACGAGCTCGACCGCGTCCTCTTCCACCAATTCTATCATCGTAGGTCACCTTTAATGCCTGCTCATCTCCTCCATGCCCGTTCATCCTCTGCTCATGTACTAGTAAACTGCTCTGCAACTCATCAATGGTTAAGGTGTCTAAGTTATTAGACTCTTCAACCGAACACACAACATAGTCGAACCTTGAGGTCATTGATCTCAAGATCTTTTCAATGATCACGACTTGCTGCATGTTTTCACCATGAATCTTCATCTTGTTTGCTATGATGAGTGTTCGAGCGAAGTACGCATCAACACTCTCAACCTCTTTCATCTGTAGAACCTCAAACTCCTTCCGAAGAGCTTGGAGCTGTGCTCTTTTGACTCTTGTGGAACCCTGGTACTTTTGCTTCATAGAGTCCCAGATGTGCTTGGCAGTGTCTTTGTTGAGGATCGTCTCCATAATGGTTCGATCAATGGCTTGGAACAGATAATTCTTGACCTTCAAGTCTTTCAGCTTCTGGTCTGCATTTGATTTTTGTTGTGCTTCAGTAAGCTCCACTCCTTCTGCTACAGTAGGGATTCCAATCTCCACCAAACTCCAATATTCCTTTGAACGAAGGATATTTTCCATAAGCATAGACCAATGATCGTAATGGCCATCAAACTTAGGAATTGCAGGTTGAACGAAATTATTTTCAGCTGCCATACTTCGATTCTCTCTCTTCTCACTCTTTCTCTTTTTAAGAAACTGCGGTTTCTTTTCTCTCACAATCAGGCCCCGTGAGGGAGCTCTGATACCAGATTGTTGTAAACTCTAAGCACAAAGCAATTCAGAAAAAATATCTGAATGAATGTTATATTATTCAAAACAAGTTGTTGGCTTTATATAAGCCTTACAAAGAGATAAGATTGAAAAACAAACAACCCACGTTCTACTGATCCTAATAACATGGTAAAATGACTAAAGAAATGGTCAGACTCTACCTACATATCCTAAATAATATGATTTATTAACTGAATGAACTTTTGACAACTTCAACTATAACTCTAACAACCCCAACAAATGCATCTATATAATAAAACACATTAAAAAACATCACCACTAATAACGTGATTACAAACATATATGATTTCATTGTTCTTTCATTTGTCTCAGCACGTTGAATTATATTACAAAGTTCTTTGATTGTTAACTTCAATGTCATTACATTTTCAATTCGTCGTACATTTATTATTTTATTTGTAATTTTCAAATAAAGCAGAGTAGTAAGAGTTATCTATTTAAAAAATTGACATCCCTTGTTCGAATATTTGTAATATAGCTTGCGAGTTAAGATATTTTAATAGCGATTATTAAAGTTTTCGAATTTGAAAAAATTGTTAGAAAATTATACTGATTGAAGAACTTTTAATAGGACACTGGTTGGTCAGAAGGGACACGTATTGACCATGATTGGCTTGAGACATTTGAGAACTACAGGGCGCACGGGAACGAGAGTACAAGAGTAGATATACTAGATTAGCGAAAGACCAGGATATCGAAAGTAGGGGTGGCAATTTATGAGATAATAAGAAATATGTTTTGAAATTGACGCGAACTTATAAATGATATGATTTATTAACAAGAATAATAATTGCGTTAGTGTCAAAAGTGAAATTGACATAGTTAATATATTTAATTAATATTATAAGAATAAAATATTAATTGTTATTATATTTTATTAAATAGTGACATAATTATTATATTATTAAATTAATTTTTAGTTTATAAAAAAAATATGAACATAAGGACGATTAAGTGACAAGTAAATTTTAGACTTAAAGTAGGGCATTAAATTTTTTATTTTTAAGTAATATGAGTCAATATGAATATGATATGAAAGCAAATGAATCAATTCAATACGATTAGTTAAACGAATTGGGGGTTAGGATTGACTAAGACACAAAACCGAAATAATACGACACTATTATCACACCTAATCAAAAGAGTTGTTTTTTGGTAGTTGAAAATTTACTATAAATAAGTTCGATTTTAAAATATTTAAGTTTAGCAGAAATTCAACTTTGTGTGGCAATTTGACCTAAATTAAATTGAGAATTTTAAAAAGATATAAGCATAAAAAATGAATTTGGCCATTGGAGAGAGTAGACAGATGCATACTAAATCAAAATTTTTATTTATTTTTAATTCAAGTTTGGCCTTTGCCCATTGGTCAAATAGTATATAGCGGCGTTAGTAATTATATCCCAACTCCAGGGTTATGGTTGGAAATAAAATACGGTCACCGTTTACCAAAACCCTAACCCTAGCCAACCTCTTCAACTATTTAATCTCAAATTCCCATCTTTCTTCTGCAGAGCCTCTCTGTCTCTCTCTCTCTAACCCCCCACTACACAAACGCACACACAGTCTTAGATGTGTTTTACTCCATTGTTCTTTGTTATATGTATGTGGGACAATGATGATAAACGTTAATCCCAGCTCATTATGAGACCTTTTGCTTCGAGCTAGAGGTCTGGGAATTGACTCCATTCTAACGTTTATCTGAGCTTCATCCATTTTATTTTTCGTTTTATTTTCACCCACCTCTACTATTTTTAGCTTCAATATTACTAATATTTTTTCAATTTCTGATATTTATCTTTATTTTCTCCCTGTGATGCTTTCATTATTGACCATGCTAATTCAGATTGTTTGTGATTGATTCAATTTCTTACGAATTCTGAGGGGGTACTCTTTCTACTTTCTCGTGATCGATTGCATTAATTTAATCAGTTATTTTGCTTAAAATACCCAATATATTTTCGCTTTTCATGTTGTTAATGATTTTTTTTTTAATTTCTCTTATTGAAGAAAAATTTCCTGTTGAAGGATCAGATTTTTTTGAAGGTGGGTGAAAAAGTTAAATCTTTTGAAGACCAAATTGAACTGAGTTTGCATAGTGAGTTTTATGTCAGTGATGAAACGTCCAAAGGCTTGTTTCTCAAAACATTCGCAGTGGCCGCCTAAGATCTTTCGCCTTCGCCAGGCTTGAGAGATTATGCTGCTTTAATCCTTCCTTGGATGTCTGAGACATTATTAAAAAAAATTCATTATTTTGTAATAATGGTTTTTTTCTTCTTTTGAATTTATTGTTTATTCTTTCTCCCCTATCTCTATCTCCTCTATTTGTATTGTATTAAAAATTACAAATAGATACAAAAGAAATGGTTTGACATTCATAATTTGAAGATTCTAAGATTGCCATAGATAATATTTTTGTTTTTTTTATTTTTCTGTGAAAAAAAAAGTATTCATGTAAAATTAATTACAATTTGTATTCATGTGAAATTTGTCTTCTAGAAAAAAATTATCCTAACAATATAAAAACGTCAAGCTAACCCAATAAAAGCACATAGATACAACACTCTAAATATACATAAATAAATAATGAAGCAATATTCTAAAGCTTTCAAAATAGTCCCACTAACAAGACGAAGCTAGAAACTTAAATCTAGGGTGGGCCTTACTTATAGAGATTGATCACAAAAAAAATTATAAAATTAACATCAATTATTATTATACAATATGTGTAATTACAAATAAATTACAACTTGTATTATCAAAAAAAAAAAAATATTGAAAAAAAATAAAAATAAAATTAGGGTATAAGTTTAAAAAAATCTAAAAAACATGGTGCTAATACCATTAACTCGTCATATCTCAAATAAATAAAACTCAGTTTGATGTTTAGCACAGTTATGCATTTTCATGTCTTGGTTTTGCCCTAAATTGGGCATTACATTTTTTGTTGCTAAACTTTATTTACTTGACCTATTAAATTTTACTTCAATTCTCATATAGATGAATAGTCATCTAACAAATTGATCTAATTTGAACAATCACTCGTACCCTCCGTTTGGTAGAAGGGATGAAATGTTTAGAGGGATAAAAAAATACAAGAGATAAGTTTTTTATCTTTGAAGGAAGAAAATAGGTTTTTTATCTTTTACGTTTGATGGAAAAATGAAAAAAATAAATTGATTTGGATTAAAAATTTAAACCAAACTAATGAAAATCCAATAACGTATTTGGTAACGGGTTGTTTTCGTTTTTTTTTTGTTTTTGTTTTTAATTTTTACAAAAAAAATTTGTTTGGGGCGCGTTTTTATTTTTTTTTGGCCAATCCGTTTTGTAAACAACCCTTGTTTTTGAAAACAAATATTTAGGTGCTTTCAAAAACAAGGGAAACTGCAAACAAACGCGCGCCTCTCACCCCCAATTAATGAGGTATCGTCTTTGAACCCCATTAACAGCACAAAAGACAATTTTTTTGTTCCAACTAGAAAAGGACCTTTTTTAACTCTTTTTTATCTCTCGTTCGTCTCTCTCTTGCGAAGCACCTCCATGGATCAACTCAACCCAGCGAAGGAAGCTCCAGCGAGGAAGCACTGATTTTTCAAATTTTCTACTCTTTCCATCTCCATTTCCATCGATCCCTTTCTCTCTCTCTCTGATCCCTCTGTGGAATTATTTTTTTTAGGTTTGGGTTTTCGGTGGTGGTGGGTTTTTGATGGTGGTGGCTAAACAAGGGTGGTGCTGGGTTTTTGGTGGTATTGGTGGTGGCGATGGTGGCTGGGTGATGGTGCTGGGTTTTTGTGGTATTGGTGGTGGCGATGGTTATGGTGCTGGGTTTTTGTGGTATTGATGGTGGCGATTGTGGCTGAGTGGTGGTGTTGGGTTTTTGGTGGTATTGGTGGTGGTGCTGCGTTTTTTGTGGTATTGGTGGTGGCGATGGTGCTAGGTTGTGGTATTGGTGGTGGCTGGGTGCTGGTGCTGGGTTTTTGGTGGTATTGGAGGTGGCGATGGTGGCTGGAGATGTATTTGGCATTAAAAAATTAATCAAAATAATCTCAATGAACCATGAAAACACTGTTATAATACCAAACATATTTTTTATTTTTATTTTTATAATTTTTTAAATATAAATAATTATCAAACATGTTTTATATTTTTAATTTTTATCGTAGAAATTCAAAATTCAAAATTCAAAATTCAGGCATGGTGCAAGACAGTATTGTGAAGTAAAAACATCTTCCTACAATTAATAATATACAACTATGTGTTAATGAGAATACACAGGTGTGTGTGTGTGTGTTGTGTCTCTATGTAGTTGTAGTGATAATGAGAATATACAAATAGACCATGGACTGAGCAATTATACTGAGTCACATGATGTGAAGATTTGCATAATGCTGGGAGTTACCAAATGGGTATCTAAAATTTACCACTAAACACTAAAAAATTGGGATTTTGTTTTACTCCCTTAATCTTGAACCAAGTATTAGCACAATGCATATGAGCTGCTGCTAAGTCATCCTTACAAGAACAACACAATTCAATGGCAATCTCAGACTCAGGACCAGTACTCTCCAAACTCAGATGACAGATTCGACAATCTCTCTGATATCTACAAATGCACTTTGATTTTACCCACCTCATTTTTGACATCCACCGAACAATTGGCCACCGATTAAACCTTCCTAGATTCGCCAATCTCAAAATTAGAGGCACAAGCAAAACTATAGTCATCATAAGAACCATCAGCGGTGGAATAGAATTGAGAATAAAAATCCATTTTATTGAGATCAAAATTGATCCGTTTAGCATTTTCTTTCTGTCATTACATACAAACAAATAAACTTCACTGAAACACGAATATGAGAAGAAACTAATTTGGATATATCGATAAAATAGAGGATTTTACGGACCATAGAAATTTTTTGCTAAAAAAATTACAGACTATGACAGAAAATAAGAACAAAATAAGCCCCATATTCAAGAAGAATAGCTGGTACTGTTAACAATGACCCAACCTAACAACAAAAAAACCCCATACTCATCTTTCCTCTCATCTAATGGTGCTTAGACTACCTTCGGAGAACAAAAACAAACACAATCATTGATTTGTGAACAAACCCATCAACGAGCAAGAGGGTTTCTAAGAATCTTCAATGCAAAAACAGCACAAATAATCAAGAAAACCATCGGAAACTCAGTGCACATGCATGTTGCGTCAGACCTCGGGCCACCTATGATTTTCCCGGTTGGAAAAAATGGCAGAACCACCGGTGGTGCGAAGAAGTCACCACCTTTGACAGTGTAATCAAGAATGGCGCCAGTACTGTGGACCTCCATGGCTGAGTTTAGGTAGATATTTGGGTGAGCGATGATAGAATCGTCAATGGTGAGGGTAGATAGATCGCCATGGCTGAGTTTAGGAGAGAGAGGAAACATACCATTGCCCTTGCCAATGGAGGAGTCTGAGCCGTTTTGGGGGGTGATTTTAGGGGTGTAATGGTAAAATCTTCCCACAATCCGGTCGGCATTTGCACAATCCCAAAGTTTTGGTGGTATCCCCTTGAGAAGGGATAAAGGAGCTCAAATACTGTAACCGAGTTTTTCAAAGCCAACGATTGTCCAACCTTAAATTTCCTAGACAAATCAAGGTAAATGGGCTCCACCTTATTTTTATCCAATTCAAATGGTGTAATCCGGATTTATCCACCGTACCAAACACCCCTTAATAGAATTTGAATAATCTATTGAGAGATGACTTCCTTGGGTTAAATTATAATTAACCATTACATTAAAAGCTATGGGACCCATATTGGCCAACTTGTCAGGCATTGTTGCCATTTTCTACCCAAAAACGGGGGATAAAAAATGGAGGGATTGTTTTTCCCACGTTCTTTCTTTTTCCTCTATTTTTCATTTCTAATCAAACAAATAAAAATTACATTTTTCATCCGACTTTTCATCTGTCATTTTTCATTCATCCTATTTTCACTCATACCAAACATTAGGGTGCAACTCGGGCGAGTTGGACGGTTAATCCTAATCCAATCTTAAGTATATAATCTTTAATTCTAACCCTAACCCTATCTCCGGTTGATAATCTCAACCTAAGCACTGCCTGAGTTTAATTCAAGTGGACTCGGGTTAAATTTGAATTAATAATTTCGGGTTAATATTTTAAACCTGATACATATATTATATAATATTTACATAATTTAACAACCGACAACATCAATTATAACACAAATATATTACATAATTTGACAACCAACAACCAGTTTAACAGAACACAAACATAACATTCAAAAATTGTATTTATATAATAGTAATTTGGGTTGAACTCGAGGGATTAATCCGAGGTCCGCTCAAATTGAATTGAGGTTGAGATTTTTTGACCCAAATCTAACTCAAGTATTAAAAATTCTTACCCGAATCCTAATTTTTTGGGTTAGACTCGGGTTGAAATCGAGTTGCCCAACTCAAATTACACTCCTACCAAACAGGCCATTAGAGACGCACTTCTCAAGATTTTTCACTTCAAATATATGAGCTAGTGATTCACCAGTTGCACCATGTACAAAACCATCATTGGCCTTCATTCGCCTCAGAAGTTGTCCTATAAAAATGGGAAAACTGCATTTGTTAAGACACAAGAAATCAGGTCATTTTACCAAGGGATAAAGAGGTTGCAACCAATCTAGTGATTGTAATTGAGGAAATTGAGGTTTCTATTATTTCTTATTTTGATTCTCTAGTAGGGATGTCCAGGTACATGTACATTAAATTTACAACTTTACTTTCCCAAAATAAAGAAATAGAAAAAGAAAATGGAACTGGGAGTGGCAAATCAACTCGACTATCACAGACAGGGCACTCAATCTCTAGGTTTGACAACAATGAGGGTATACATTTGGCTTCAATAATATTAACTTTTAGAGCATTCAAATAAAAAAATGTGTGAAAATTTGATGAATATGTTCAAAATTATAACAAAATTGTTAATTAAAATCAAACTAAAGAAAAGATAACAACACAAAACTTTATTGAAGTTTGTTATTGCAAAAAAACTTTGCTTTTTTTAGTTTTCTCCAATATCTCAATTAAAATTTCGGACTTTCCTACTTTCGTCTTCCTGATTCAGTAACATATGTTTATGTTGATGCTTTACTAGTTCTAATGGAGACTAGTACATATAACAATGAGAAAAATGAATATTGTGTGAACATATCATAACAAAAGCATTTCCACACATTATTTATGAAAAAGGTAGACTTTTTTAGATAATGCAAATTAAGCATGTTCAGTTATAACTACAACTACTAATTATATCACTTGATAAAAAAAATTCGAATTTCTTGACTTACCTCAAAAAATTCAGAGGGAAGTTTTCTGAACCCTCCCTTTGACAAATCAATAAATCTGATTGAAACACCCATTTATTCTTTTTCTTGGAAGAGTAAATGGAAACATTGTACTTACAATCAGCAAAATTTTAAACCGGAGGTAAAATGGGATTTTCTAGATCTTTCAGGGGTGAAAATGTAGTTAATCATTCCTAAAATGATCAAGCTGCACAATAGCATGTGATTAGGGGTGCAACTTAGGCGGGTTAACCCGATTTCAACCCATAAAAATTAGAGCATAGGCTAGGGTTTTTAATACTTAGGTTGAATTTGGGTCAAAAAATCTCAACCCGAATTCAATTTGGTCGGGTCTCAGGTTGACCCATCAGGTTATCGAGTTGAACCGAAATATTAAAATTGGGTTCAACCCGAATATTCATAATCATATAAATACATTTTTAAATTTAGGGTTAATCTGTTCTGAAGTCTTCATTGTGCACCTTCCTTACTCGCTATTTAAGTAATGAACTCTATATTTATACAAGGATTCTAGTTGTGTTTATTTGTGTTAAGAATGTTTGTGGTTACATTATCTCAAACATTGAGTTTTTAATATTATGATTTTTATGTTAAAAACTTGATTAAAGTTGATTATTAATTAAGGTGAATATTATGTAATATATGTATCAGATTTATAACAATAAGTCTATTTTAGGCTCAATCCAAATTAAACCCGTAAAGTAGCCTGACTGAAATCATTAACTCGAATTCAACCCGAGCCCACTCGAATTAAAGTCGGGCAGTGCTCAGGTTGAGGGGTTAGGGTTAGGGTTAGTGTTAGAATTATATACCTACAGTTGGGCTAGGGATGACTGTCCAACCCGCCTGAGTTGCACCCTTACATGTGATATAGTTGAAAACTCAGCACTTTTCATCCAGATTTTATAATCGTAATGAGTGTTTTTACAACAAAAAAATTTATAATTTTTATGGGTTATTTACGATGATGCACAAAATAGGCTTATGCACAATCAACAGTTGAGTGTATGATTCAAGATAATTAATGAAGTAATCAATAAAGTAATTAATGAATGAGACAAATATTAGATCAACACAAGCAACACATATGTATAATAGTTCTCTTTATTGATGAAGTAGTAGGTGAGAGAGAGAGAGAGATAGAACCAATATGTTTTTGGTAGCTATGAGTGAGATAACTTGTGTAGGGATGTGTAGAGTGATGCCCCTCTCATATGGAAATTGCTTATGATTTATAGACACATAATTTTGGTTAAGGCGGTTGCATGAAAGGATATGTGCCTAATCCTGCGCAGTATAAATAATTACAACTAAGGATTGATACAATTAGAAATAGTCTTAATCTTGAAGAGTGACTATTTCGATAATTACTTCTCACGTGTGCTAATCTTCTTAAACTCCTTGAACTTTAGACTGGGCCGAATCCATGAGCTGAATTTGACCTACGTTGTAGCCAATTTGGGTTTATCTAATTAACCGGACCTGACCCAGTTAAATCTGGACTCGTCAATTTACAATTTTTGTAGATATTTTTATCACTTTTGTGATAACTATTTTGACCACTTTACAATCAATCGTACAGTACCACAAAAATGATAAAAATACCTACAAAAACTATAAATTATGATGCAGCACCAATTTTTTTTTCCCGTAGACTACTCCATTTCTTGACATCTTAACACTCAAGTCCTGGGTAAGATTCTTTCATTTTGGCCCTTACGGATTCGATTCATGAAAATAATCTACTTAGATGTACAAATAAGACTAAACATTTAATCTTCCTCGAACCCCACAGTAATGGAAACCTCTTATCCTAAGTTGCTCTTTTTTATTGTGTTTTCGTACATCTAATGAAATTAGAAACATAAAAGTAGGCATGAAATAAATATTATGAGATTTGCGAAGTTTTATGACTTGCCTAAGAGAGTCTCTATACATGGTCTTACGACTTTGTGGAGACATGTTTTTGGTAAACAATCGCCCGGGCCTCCTCACTGCAACCCCTTTTATGAGGAGGCACCCTTTCTCCCGAAGTTTAAGCAAGTAATATTCCAAACAAACAGCTGCTCCAAGTCCTGAGTGGACAAATCACTAATGTTGACATTGGCATCATTGTGCTATTTGAGTACAATTTAATGACTAAGGGACTACAGTTTCATGTAACTGAACTAAGAAGTACAAGAATTTCATAATGCAAACAATTTTGTAAAAAACCTAATGCATAATCTTATAGTAAACAACCTTAGTGTTCCAAACACAAACAGGAATGAGTACAGAAACTTTGCTCCCAATATACCCATAAGCACCCAAAAGACATGGTTAATATGGCTGATACCTGCGCCCCTGCCCACCATCGTTGTTGTGTGTCCCCCAATCTGAGCTTCCTTGACTCTTGCCACCACTCCCACTGGTACTCCTGCTGCTAGCTCTCTGATGATGTGAAGGAGGGGCGTGAGGCTGTGCTCCCTGTTGTTGCCTATTAGAATGTAGGGAGGAAAGATTAATAGGATCCAACTGTTCATAGGCATGCATATTTGGGGAGTTGCACAGCACAAATAAGCGCAAAAATATGTTGTCCCTTCTAAAGTTTTGTGTCATGAAGACAGCTAACAAGAAGGAAAAGGCAGAGTAGTGCAAGCACCAGATTACACAACCTAATAAGACTCAGGCAGGAAAATTCATTCTAAACCTGAGAACCAATAGTGAAATGAGGTAAACCAAACAGACAATAAAAACCGAACTTTCAGAGCAAGCAGTACCAAAAGAAAGTTAAAATACAATCATTCATAACCTAGAATCAGATTGAAGTTGTTTTTTATTAGAAGATTGGAGAGCAGTTTATGAGATATAATCTATCAGTTGTTGCTTAATTTCCTTATTTCGTAACTTTTAAAGGACTACAAAAAGAAAAAGATTTGAGGTTAGCAGATGGATGAAGTCATAATACTGTCTGAGCCAATGGAGACAATCCTTCTGCACTCCAATTTTTGCGATGCCCCCTACAAACTCAAATGTAGGCAGCAAACATCATATCAGGCCATGAAGCAGTTGTAGTGAAAAGAGGAGTATAACTATATGGTTAGCCTAAATCTAGGTTCTAATTTGAAAGGGGGGTAGTATAACAACTAGGCTTTGTTTTAGAAGCCGGATAGTCAGGTCAGTCAAACATAAATGTAAGTACCAAAAAGAGGGCTTCAATTAGCACCTTGATCTCATATAAATGAAAAAGAAAAACAGCACATTGATCATGTACCACAATCAGAGTTTTATTTCAATGCAATGTTTGTGACGTGAACGATGTGTCCACCTTTCCCATTCTAAATCTTTATCATATACCAACTATAAATCAATATATTTATATGTTTCTTTCACTAAAAAAAATCCCCAGGAATGGAAATACTCTAGACGACACTAATTCTTTTCTATTATATCACTTCAATTTTGGTTGATTACCCTCAACAGAGGCCTCAACGTTGATTGGATTTCGAAAAACAGACAACTTGCAGGCTCCATTGCTCCAATTAAAAAGGATCCATTGGTTGGTACACTCTGGTTTGGTTTACACACATGGCAGAAACTGTTTATGTTAATGCCTTTACTAAGCAAGCTAGCTGCTTGCTAATAAGTTCATGAACATAAAAAGCAGTTCAATTTCTAATTGTTACACCAGGAATGAGCAGACAAAAGAAGGGCTAGCGATACTGATCCATTTTCTGTTCTTCCCTTTTCCAGGAGGGAGTATTATCCTATACGAAAATTGAAGTCTGCAATTCTCCCCCCCCCCCCCCCCCCCCCCCCCCCCAAAAAAAAAAAAAAAAAGAAGATCAGATCTGGATTGTCTACCATATTAGACCACAAAAGAGGAAAAAAGGTAGGATTGTGTTGTTAACCAAAGGGGTGATTTTAAGCATGTAATGTGCTGCATATTAGACCCCAGACGAAGCAGATGTACATGAAGTGCTTACATGACATAGCCAATCCGTCCATCAGGCAGAAGCATCGGCAACATAACCATGCCAGCGGGAGTTGGTGCCCTCCCATAGACCAAGGGCTGCATAATAAAATCATCTCAACGTTATAAGAAATTGAGAAACCACAAAGCAAATAAATAGATGAAAACAATCTATAAGGCTTGCAGTGAGGTTCATTACATCCCTGGTATCACCTCTAGTTTCTTGTGGCAAGTACAGCAGAAGTCATTTAATGACCAACCATGCGCAATAGATGTTTTGACTATTTTGAAAATATACAACACATGATACTTGTGTAAGAGAATAGACCCATTTCTAACATTAGCAAAGACAACATGTGCATCACATTCATCAATCAGTTTTGAAGTCTATAATACATTGACAAGAATCCAATCTCAATCCCACAATATCTCTTGTGGATAGAAACTGTTTTGAAAAAAACAAAGCAAACAAAAAGAAAACAGTAAATGCCCTTGTGCCTTTCTAGAAACACAAACCTTGGCTGTGTAGGTACCATGATCTGAAGGTAATGCTCCCAAGCGAGAATCAAGGACAATGAAATATATTACTAGAACATCGTCACTGTTAAGTGTGGAGAATTAACACAATATTAGAGAGAAATAGAGAGAGGTTAAACCTTAACCTAACTCTCATCAATCACTTGTATTTATAGTTAACCTACAATAATAAGAATTATACATACACCCTCTTACTATTAACAATTTACATATACTACCCTACTATTCTTAACACTCCCCCACAAGCTGGACTATATATATCATATAATCCAAACTTAGAACAAATAGCTGTAAGACGTGTACGACTCAATACTTTGGTAAACATATCTGCAAGCTGATCTTCAGATTTCACAAATGGAGTTATAATCTCCCCAGCTATTATCTTGTCCCGAATACAGTGACAATCAACATCAATATGCTTGGTTCTCTCGTGAAACACAGGATTGACAGCGATATGGATAGCTACCTGGTTGTCACAGAACAACTGTAAAGGAAGTTGAATTGAAAACTCAATTTCTCGGAGGAAGTGCAATAGTCAAGTCAACTCACTCGTCGTATGTGTCATTGCCCTATACTCAGTCTCAGCACTAAATCTTGCTACCACGGGCTGTTTCTTACTTTTCCATAAGACAACATTACCTCCTAAGAAAGTATAATAACTAGTGGTTGATCTTCAATCAGAAGGAGAGCCAGCCCAATCTGCATCTGAGAAACATTCCACTCTAAGATGTATATTAGCTCGATATAACAATCAATGTCCAGGAGCTCGTTTGAGATATCGCAGAATACGAGTAACTGCCTTCCAATGTGGTACTCTAGGACATCTCATGAACTGACTTCCTATACTGACTGCATAGGAAATATCCGGTTGAGTAATAGTGAAATAATTAAGCTTCCCAACCAATCTGCAATATCGACCCGGATTCTCAAACAATACACCATCATCCATTAATAATTTCTGATTTAGATCCATAGGAACAACAATTGGTCTACCACCCAGCAAACCTGCTTCCTCAAGCTTGTCAAGTATATATTTCCTTTGAGATAAACAAAAATCCTGTTTAGATCGAGCCACCTCAATACTCAAGAAATACCTGAGTTTTTTCAAATCCTTAGTATGAAATCGATCCTGTAAGAATATTTTTAACTTGACAATCCCCTCAGAATCATTTTCAGTAATTACAATATCATCTACATAGACCACCAATAGGACATACCTAGCATCTGTCTATCTATGAAACACAGAATGATCTGTCTGACATCGAAGAAAACCAAACTCTAAAACTACATCTGACAACTTACCAAACCATGCCCTCGGTGACTGCTTAAAACCATACAAAAATTTTTTTAATCGACATATACTCTTACCATACTCTCCCTGAGCAGTAAACCCAAGTGGCTGCTCCATGTAGACCTCTTCAACCAAATCACCATGTAAGAACGCATTCTTGACATCTAACTGAAACAAGGGCCAATCAAGATTAACAGACAAATAAATCAAAATACAGACAGAAAAAATTTTGGCAACAAGAGAAAAGGTCTCTTCATAATCAACACTATAAGTCTGAGTAAAACCCTTTACAACAAGCCGGGCTTTAAGACGCTCCACATAACCATCAAGATGAAATTTAACAGTATACACCCAACGAAAGCCAATAGTTCGTTTACCAAAGGGTAAAGGAACGAGATCCTAAGTCCCATTATGATGTAAAGTATCCATCTCTTCCTCCATGGCTTTCCTCCAACCCGGATCAGATAATATATCCTATAAATGCTTAGAAATAGATATAGCAGATAATTGAAAAATAAAACAGGAGAAGACAGGAGACAAAGCATCATATGAAACAAAATGAGAAATAAGATGATTAGTAACGCACGAACGAGTACCTTTGCGAAGAGCAATAGGTAAAGAGTCAAAATTACCTGATGTACCAGGATCAGAAGGTGGGAAGAAAGACGGTACGGGCACCTCAGTCGATGGACGAGGACGGCGAGAGTAGACACGGAGAGGTAAAGTAGATAGTAACACAGTGGGCAGTGGAATATCTAAAGATGAGGAAAGAGATGGTGTTACAGGAGAGGATCCAAAGGCTAAGAAGATATTGAAAAGTATGGAACAGATTCTTCAAATGTGACATCCGCACTAGTAAAATATTGGTACAGAGAAGGACTATAGCAACTGTTAAGTTTAGAGAATAAACTCAATATTAGAGAAAGACGGAGAGTGGTCAAAACTTAACCTACTCTCACAAAACCACTTGTATTTATAGTTAACTCATAATATAAGAATTACACATACATCCGCTTGTATTTACACATATCACCCTAACACTATTAACAATCTACACACAATACCCCAATACTCTTAACACTCCCCCTTAAGTTGGACTATATATATCATATAATCCAAGCTTGAAACAAATTATTGTAAGACGTGTACGACTCAATGCTTTAGTAAACATGTCTGCAAGTTGATCTTCAGATTTTACAAATGGAGTCATAATCTCTCCAGCTACTATCTTATTTCGGATAAAGTGACAATCAACCTCAATATGTTTAGTTCTCTCATGAAACACTGGATTGACAACAATATGGATAGCTGTCTGGTTGTCACAGAACAACTGTAAAGGAAACTGAACTGAAAACTCAATTTCCTGGAGGAAGTGTAGTAGCTAAGTCAACTCACTCGTCGTATGCGCCATTGCCCTATACTCGGCCTCAGCGCTAGATTTTGCTACCACTGGTTGTTTCTTACTTTTCCATGAGACAACATTACCTCCTAAGAAAGTACAATAACTAGTGGTTGATCTCCGATCAGAAGGAGATCGAGCCCAATCAGCATCTGAGAAGCCTTCCACTCTAAGATGTCAATTAGTTCGATATAACAATCCAAGGTCAGGTGCATGTTTAAGATATCGCAGAATACGAGTAACTGCCACCCAATGTGGTACTCTAGGACACCCCATAAGCTGACTTACCATATTGACTGCATAGGAAATATTTGGTCAAGTAATAGTGAGGTAATTTAGCTTCCCAACCAATCTGCGATATCGACTCGGATTCTCAAACAGTACACCATCATCCATTAACAATTTTTGATTCGAATCTATAGGAACATCAATCGGCCTGCCAACCAGCAAACCTGCTTCCTCTAGCATGTCGAGTACATATTTCCTCTGAAAAAAACAAATACCCTGTTTAGATCGAGCCACCTTAATACCCAAGAAATACCTGAGTTTTTCCAAGTCCTTCGTATGAAATTGATCTTGCAAGAAGATTTTTAACTTGACAATCCCCTTAGAATCATTTTCAATAATCACAACATCATCTACATAGACCACTAATAGAACATATCTAGCATCCGTCTGTCTATGAAACACAGAATGATCTGTCTGACATCAAAGAAGACCAAACTCTAAAACTGCATCTGAAAACTTACCAAACCATGCCCTCGGTGCCTGCTTCAAACCATACAAAGATTTTTTTAACCGACATACACTCTTGTACTCCCCCTGAGCAGTAAACCCAGGTGGTTGTTCCATATATACCTCTTCAACCAAGTCACCATGGAAAAAGGCATTCTTGACATCCAACTGAAACAAAGGCCAATCAAGATTAGTAGCCAAAGAAATCAAGATGCGAACAGAGAAAATTTGGCAACAGGAAAGAAAGTCTCCTCATAATCAACACCATATGTCTGAGTAAAACCCTTTGCAACAAGCTGAGCTTTGAGACGCTCCACATAACCATCCGGATGAAATTTAACAGTATACACCCAACGACAACCAACAGTTCGTTTACCAGGAGGTAAAGGAACAAGATCCCAAGTCCCATTATGATGTAAGGCATCCATCTCCTCCTCCATAGCTTTCCTCTAACACCCCGGATCAGATAACGCATCCTGTAAGTGCTTAGGAATAGGATAGTAGATATTGAGAGGTAAAACAAGAGAAGACAGGAGATAAGGCATCATATGAAACAAAATGAGCAATGAGATGATTAGTAACATGAACGAGTACCTTTGGCGAAGAGCAATAGGTAAAGAATCTAAATTACTTGATGTACCAGGATCAGCAGACGACAAGGAAGGACGGTACAGGCACCTCAGGCGATAAGGCGAGGACGACAAGAGTATACACGAAGAGGTAAAGTGAATGGTGACACAGTGGGCAGCGGAATATTTGACGGTGAGGGAAGAGATGGTGATACAAAAGACGTCCCAAAGTCTAGATCCAAAGGCTGAGCAAGTGCTAAAAAATATGGAATAGACTCCTCAAATGTGACATCGGCACTAATAAAGTACCGCCTTAGGGAAGGACTATAGCAACGATCCCCTTTTGTGTGCAAGAGTATCTAAGAAATACAAATTTAATAGCCCGAGGGTTAAAGTTTATCAAACCAGGGCCCAAGTTGTGAACAT